GATAACAGGCTTGGTCAGACTGACACATTTAAACACAGGCTTAACCTTTTAAGATCAAAGTTCAGCTCGACTCGGCCCGTTAACACCCCTACTTGCCATCTACTTTAGAGGAGGGGTCATATCGTCGGGTTGGAAGACTTGAAAATATAACTGAGGTCACGGTAAAAAACTGTTATACATCTTTATTAGGGGCCATGACGAATAATGCCCACTTGACATGTGCGTTCTGGAGGAATTTGAGGGGTTGGAAACGTCCTCATTGCATAAAAAATTTCTAATGGAAATTAGCCCATAACAGATTACCTACCAAAGCATGGAGTGCTTATTGGTCCCATAGGGATCCTCGATGCCCCATATGCAATGAACAGATAGAAACCTTACTGCATGCTATTAGGGATTGTCATATCATCAAAAACATACGGGCTGCTGTTCTGCCTCATTTAGAAAGGGAAACCTTCTTCGAGGTTGATTTATTTGAGAGGCTAAAATGGAACTAGAGTCATAAGGGGGGAAATACAGAGTCTACTTTTGTTGTTGTTTGTTTTTTGATGATATGGTAGTGACGTAATTTAGTTGCATATGGCCAACCAGCCCATCCTTTTATTCACTCGTATCTTGCTATGATTGAAAATTATAACAGCCCTAGCTTAATTATTTAGTAAATTACATGTGATTAAGTGATTAAGCATGTATTAGTGAGGTAAAATTAGTAAAATACCTAATTAAATTAATTAGGGTCACTTTTGAGGTAAAAAGTGTACTCAGTGAAAATTAAGGGATATAAATGGGTGTAGGCAAAAGTACCCAAAATATAAAAATAAAAGTGGAAATATTCCTAGAATAATATTCCAGACTTTTGGGTAAAGTTTGGTAGTGAATGGAGTTGAATAGATAGATGAACTAATACCCACTTGATTCCACTTAACCATGATTAAGTGACTAGGCAATAAAAAAAAAACCCAAATCCCTCCCCAACCCGTCGTGGACCAGAAGAAAGAAAGAAAGAAAGGAAGAGAAGGAGAACAGGGAAGAAGGGAGGAGAAACCCTAGCCACACCAATCCTTAACCAAATTCATCCATTCCAAAGCCTAACTCACTCCAAATCTTTCCCTCTTTCACAATCAAAACTTGGTTTTGAGTGGGAGTCTTTGTGGAGTGAGATTTCAACCTCCAAAAATCCGACCCATCTGAGAAATTGAGGGATTTGTTGGCTTCTACCTCCATGGAAGCTTGAGGAACAACCATTCCTTGTTGTGTGATCCATTGTGGTGAGTTTTCCAATCTCTTTCACACAAATTCCTTGAGTTTTGCATGATTTAGGTTTTCATGAATAGTGTTTTAGGGTTTTATGTTAATGTGAGTAAATTGGCTATGTTCTAAGAAGATTGAGACTTAGTGGATGTTATGAAAAATGTTAGGAATGACATTTAATCGGTGAAAATGAGCTTAGATAGTCATTGGTTTATACTTTGAGAATTGCAAAAATTCCATGCTTGGACTTGTGAAGTTTCTTGCATTGTTGAACCATTACTTGGTTGGATATTGATTGTGCCAATGTTGTGTTTAGGATTGAGGCATTGGAATCAACCTTGAGTAACCAACCATTGGATCAAGCTATGGAGCTTGATTAGCTCATTGGAATAGGTAAGTTCATGCTCATTGATAGTGTAGAGTGGTTGTGGTATTGATGGATATACAAATATTCATTTGATTGCATGATTGATGTTGTGACACCCTGATGTAGGTGTGTACTTTACAAGTTATAATTTGGAATCACAGCTGACTAGTTGTAGAACCTGTTGGTGGTGAACAAAGGTTGAACTGAAGCTTTGAGGTAAGCCTTCGGACCTTGGGTGTAATTCCCCTGATTGTTTCACCAAGCCCTGAATGGGTAGTGGTAGTGTTAGTGTATATAAATGCAATGAAATAGTTTAATGCTTTGTTATACGTATGTGTATGCTTTGGTATGGCATAGGATGGTGTTTCCCTATGTTGGTATGTTGCATGACGATGCGTAAATCATACTTGGTAGTTTAGCTGGCCAGTAGGACTATTTGCATCTGAGTATCCTTAGGACAGCTTGAGAGCTCGAGGGATTTCTCCTGGAGATGTTGTTTACACACTGCATGGATATGTATTTACTGCATTATTATTGTTATTGCTATTACACTGATATTGAACTATGGGGTGAAAAGATGCTCCAAGGACCCCTGGTTTACTTTGATATATTCGTATATCTCACCCCGTGTTGTGGGGACCCCCTTTCAAGAAAGGATGTTGCAGGAGCCTCCAGTGGCAAGTGGCCATATTTGGATTAGTAGATGCGTGAAGATGTTGCATTTTTTGGGATTATACATGACATGTAGAAATATCATGTATAAGACTTATAGTTGAAAGCCGATTGTCATTTGTACATCATGTTTTATTGGATGGACTTAGCCTATGCTCACCTCCTTTGGTGCCTCTTTTGTTGTTGAGAGCCAAGGGGTTGATCACAGTTCTTTTGGTAGCTAAGTCCCCTGATTTTGTAATTAATACACGTTGTAATTAATGGAGATATATGTATGATGAAATGGTATGCGTGCTCTCTTAGTGTATGAGTACTTTGAAAGACTAGAATTCATATATTGAAAGAATTATATGATTGTCAATTGGGTGAAAGAAGACCTTTAGGTTGAAAATCCAAGTAAAAGTAAAGATATTCCGTCTTGTTGTCCAATTTTCGTATCCTATATGATAGATTTGGACCCTTGTGTCTTAATGGAAGTTGTAGATAATTTTCTTAGCTTTCCATAAAGACCAAGATTGTGTAATTTGGATAAGTATAGCTAAAGTTGTGGATGGAACATCATAGGTAGGTCAAATTGCCCTATTTTCGGCACCCAGACCTGCTGTGTGGCGCTATGGGCGCCAGCTTCCAGAAAGAGGCAGTAACATTGGCGCTGAGGGCGCCACTGTGGCGCTAGGAGCGCCAACCTCTCTGACTGCTCACGCTATGGGCGTGGGGGTCCTGGAAATTTCAGCACCTATTTTCTTAGAAAATGCGTAGCTTGGGCTACGGTGCTCCGATTTGAGCGCGATTTGAACCCATGTGTAGCTAATGAAAAATCCTATAACACATTAGAAATTGCGAACCATCAAAGTAGTATAGGAATTTCATAAATAAATAAAGAGTACAAGTGTTTATTGTTTAAGAACAACAAAAGTGAGTTTTAAGCTTTGGTGGTCTACATAAGACTTACAATTGGAAGTCTATTGATGATTTAGGTTATAATCACATTACGGAATGGATTTTAAACAAAAACGTTTATGAATAAAAAGGAAAAAGTTTATCCGTGTTTAATTCAATCTTGTGATTGTAACTGCGCTTAATGTCGTACGTAATGTTAACAAACCGATTCTAGAACAGGGTGTTACAAAAATGCCCAGCAAGTATGTGTTGCATTTGTACATGATAACTCTCTTCTGGTCCAATATATTATTATTTGGCTTCCTCTACCGGAAGAATTTATTAAATTAAGTACAAATGATGCTTCTACGGGCAATCCATGGGTCGTTGTTTGTGGTGGGGTGCTGCGAGACTCGAGTGGCAGCTGGAGAGGTGAATTTTCTTACAAAATTGATACTTGTTTAGCATGGGATGCTGAATTGTAAGGTGTTCTGAAAAGGCTCCAGTTAGCTTGGAGTAAGGGCGTTAAGAAACTAATCATCGAAGGCGACACAAGCTCTGTTGTCGCATTGCTCACCACACATAGTGAGAAAGCTCGTAAGTCATCTTTGGTGACTCTATTTTTTAGCTTTTCTTTATGTATAAAAATAAAAATAAAATGAACATATCTAATGATTATTATAATTAAACCAGGGATTCATTTTTTCTGCAATTAATGTAGATAAGTTATCTACATTGAGCCAAAAGCAACGTCATTTTGGGACGAAAATCAATGTATTTTTGTAATTATAATTTATTTCAGGATTATAATAGTTTTTCTTATTATAAAATAAAGGGAACAGAACCACTTACCATCAAAAAAGTTTACCATTCTTACAACCAATTTAATCACCGTTACTTCCTTCAATCTAACGGTTATAATTTATTAGCAATTAATAATTAATTAATAAACGTAACACAATAAATGCTATTAATTTTCAATAAATTATAACCGTTAGGTTAACGGAAATCAACGGTGATTAAATTAGTTGTAAAAGTTGTAAATTTTTTTGTGATAAATGGATCCATTTCTTTATAATTTTTTAATCTTTTGAACCTAAAATGAAGAACGAGTATAGATAATTTATGTACCTTCGACATTAAATCCTTAAACTGATCCTTACCCTTCCTCATATGATTCACAGGGAACCCCAACAAACAGTTATCATCATCACCAAAAACAAAACCTATTTTTTCTCTCTCTTCAACATTGTCCCTCTCTTTCCGTCAAAGTTTCCAAATTTTCTTACAAGGTATGCCCCTCCCTCCTTTCCATTTTCGTTAATCTCAAATATCTTATAACTCCCCCATTGTTATTAGCAAAAAATGTTTTTACTTTAAAAATATAATTTTGTGTCATTTTAGATCTTAATCATTGATTTCTATCGATCAATTGTTAGAATTTATTGAATCAAACTTATTAATTAATTAATAATTCGTAATAAAACCAATAAATCCTAATTGTCAACCTAAGATTTAAAATCACGTAAAGTTATATCCTTACAATTACGAATATTTTCCCCTTATTATTATTGGGACCGGTTATATGTACAAAATTTTTTATTTATAAACTCTTGCAAATTATACTATCATATTATTTTTTCTGGGAGAATACTATTTATACTATCTTTTTACGGAAAAAGATAATATAATTTGTAAAAATTTATACAAAAAAATTTGTAATCGGATCATTTTTTTATTATTATTATTATTATTATTTACGAAACCCCTTTTGTCCAATTTTGCGGAATTGTCAAAAACCCTAGCTTTGTTCAAGCTGGAAGACCCCAATTTTCAGCTCCGTAGTTAGCTCAAGCGTGCATTTCCGAATTGGGGAAGAACAAAACAGTAATCGGAATTTCGTCCTTGGAAACCCTAGCCTTGAATAGTGCTTCGGAGTTCATATTCCGAAGCTTTTTTCTCGCATTAGATTTGATTTTGTAGGTTTTTCCTATTACGTGTTCAGCTTCGAGTAGGGAAAACTCAATATAGCTTGGATTTGATGTTAAAGTTGGTATTTTTAGACGATTTAGCTGGTGGTTGTCTCTTCAATTTTCGCCTTTTGCATTTGAAGAAAATGAGTTATAAAATGAGGGTATTTTTTTTTCTAATGTGTTTTGGACGTATGCTTGCGGATTGGAAGTGATGTTGTTAAATTTTACAACATTGCGTTTTCTCTTATAATTTATTACTATAAGATATGGGATGAAGACTTGAAGTTATGATTCTGGCAACTCTAAAATGGTTGGCCACAAGTTTATAAGTGTTAGTACTTCATATAGGTGCAGTTTGCAATGTTTTTGTTTTTGTTGGACTTCATATCATAGAGAAACATTTTAAAGGAAAGTTTCCAATTTTAATGGTTATATTCTGTCTCAGTACCGTAAATTTACTCACTTGTATAATTGGTGTGATCATGTTTGTATTAGTTGACAGGGGAAATGCTTTTGAGGGTATATTTAAAGTTTCTAACTTCTTTGTTATGTTTGCACTATTTTTGAAAAAAGACTCATGTATGGTTAGGCATGGGGGCTAAATTTGGTCAAGTTTTCTTTGGTCCAGTATCTATATTTTGGAAACTGTACTCAGTGTGGACAAGAGTTTATGATTTTTTTTTCTTTTATTTTCCAGAATATTTTATATACAATATTCAGACTAGAGCATATTTTTTATTTTTTGGAGCATGCATATTGCCATTGAGTTGCACTCTTCTGATGCTTGGTTCTTGGTGTTTGTTATTGGTTCTTCTTAAGGTGTATGTTATGGATCTTTTTTTTTTTTAATTCGTTATCCATTTGTGTGCTTACAGGTCAGAATAGTATGACTCTGCCTTACCCATTTGGGGTCCACAAATTGGGTCTTATGTTTGGGGTATATAATTTTTGGGGCCTTAGGGTTTCAGTACATATGCTTTAGCAGTTGAAGGCAGTTCAATAATGCGTAATTTTAATGCCTAAGGTGATATGCTCCAATCCTTTCTTTAACTGTGGGTCCTTTTTTTCCCTTTGCCACTATTTTTCTTAGGATCTTTTAGTTTTCTTAATTGCCTTGGTTGGAAATGACACAGAGGACATTTTCAATGATGCAGTTTAGATATCACAGCTGCTTGTAGTGGTTTGACGATAAGGGAAGTATGCCGGTTATAGTTGGGGGAAATGCAAAAATATCATGCTGGCAGCTGCACTAATGCAGTTAATAACAGTGCGATTGGTGGGCCATCCGCTAGGGACATTGGAAGAACTGATTCATCTTCCTTCCCAGCTAACTTTTCTGTAAGTTCAAGGTAAGATTCTCTGTACTGACATTGTCCGGTAAGATTTTTTCATCTCAAATGATTGTGACTGTAGCATATGTGACTAAACTACTAACATATTCCAAATAGTTGTGGTTGTGAATCTTGTGATACAGCTTCTTATGCTTCATTCTCTGTTAGCTAAAAGCTTTGAATAGTGATTGATTTTGTTTGTTTTATGTCATTTGGAAACTTGAAAATAATACTTCAGAGCTGGTTCATTTATTTTTTGTTATCAGAATATTCTACTTATTAGTTTTTGTTTCAGTTCTTGTAAATGCAATGCTTTAGAAATACAAATGTTTTATCTGTTTTAACAAAATAAACATTTTTTTCCCTTTTATTTTTTTTCTATTAATATATGTATTTATGATGGTCTGCTTGGATGGTCAGATGGGCAAGAAATGTTAGGTTTCATATGCACAGTAGCCACTAGCAAGAGCTAGTATTTTTTCCATAAGAAAATTGGTATGTACAATACAGGGTTGAAAAGTTTATGTGTCTTTGATTTTGTTGGTTCTGTACAATGGTTGAAATTTGGAACCTATTTTATTCTTCTATCCTAATATCCTTCAAAACAGTGCTTTATCTTTTTTACTAGAGATTGTTATACTATAATTTGTAGGAACAGTTCAAATATTTATCCTCTTGGATGTGTTGACTAAATAAGTGAAGAAATTTGATTATCTTATATTATAAAGACCTTTCTAGAGGGTAAGGCTGCGTACAAAGATTTCCCTCACCCTTACCCTTGCAAGTTGGGGTTTCATGGGGAGTGTTTTTTTATTTTATTTTATTTTATTTATATAGGGACCTCTCTGAATGTATGAGCTTGGCTTTCAAGAAATATTGAGGTTGGGAACATGAAGTTACTATCATCACGTAAGTTAAATAGATACTCACTGTTTTATCAGAATAAAAAACACCTGGCTAGCTGAGCTTATAACTCAAATATCTTATGGTTTTTCCCAATTTGAGATCGAAAACACATAGAGTAGTGTTTGAACTTCCAAATTAGGAGTAATAATCATATAACTTTCACATAAAAATAGAGAACGGTAGCACTAAATCTGCAAAGTTGGTATAATCTTTGTGTTTCCCATTTCTTTCTGTCTTGTATTGAGATTTCTCTGTTTTCTCATCATTTAAATAATCAAAACCTTTTATTACTTGTTATTATTGTTTGACATTTTTGTATTGATGCTGCTAGACCACAGCATCTTAGTTTCAGAGTAGTGTTAAAGCTGAAGGGTGAAGCCTGTTATGTTGGTGGAACTTTTTTAAATTTTTTCTTAATGATGGAAAATACAGTAGAGATTGATGAATTTTTGTTAGAATTTTTAAAAATTATTTAATAGTCCAAATCCAGCTACTGTATTATGAGTTTGTGAAGGTTTTTATATAGAAAACTAGATTGAAGATAACAGGCAGGGAGGTTATATTTTAGTTAACCATTGATTAGTAAGAATTACTTTCTGATTTTGTGTGTACTTTGCCTTTGAAACATTTTTTTAATTTGATATTGCAAATTTGCAATAAATACATCAAAATCAAATAGAGTTTATTTTGTTTGATCATTGATGCTCAGTAATAAAATGGTATATTATTTTCTTATGTTATGCTGACTGATGTTGTTAATCACTTTCAACGCAATGGTTTTGTATTTGCAGGCGACAACCCCCGTTAAACTCATACAAGTTGAAGTGTGATAAAGAACGTCTGAACTCTAGGTAGTTAATGCTCGAAATATAAACTGTTTTGAATTTTTTTTTTTCCCTTAAGTTAGTTCATGAATAACAGTCATCCTAAGCTTTTTTGGGGAAAATTTTTCATGTATAATGTTAATATTTAAAAGAATTGCTGATATACTGTCTTGATGCCCTTGTTTATCAGCATTTGCTTTTGTTTTATGTTATTCTACTGTATTAAGCTAGCAATGTTTTAAACTCGGTAGCAATTAGTTTTGCTGTAACTTGGTAGCATCTAGTTGTATAAATTTAAATGCGACTATTAAATCTCAGGCTTGGGCCCCCAGACTATCACCCCCAAACACCAAACTGCCCCGAGGAGACTCTGACCAGAGAATATTTGCAATCTGGATATAGGGACACGGTTGAGGGGCTTGAGGTACATCTTTAAATTTTACTTTTGTCTTTGTTTATATCAATAGATAATTTAAAGCAGCAATTTAGCCATGAATATTGGGTTATAGCACTTATCCATTTATTGACATTTGTCATTAAGATTTTAAATTTTTATGTTGAGCTTTCCGTTCATTGTAACTTTTTGTTGGTTGAATATGTTTAGTATATATTGTAACCAAAGTAGTTACCAAGTAGCAGTGGAGATGGCTGACCCCAAAATTGCTATAGTGGTGTAGTGGATCTTGGAGCGGCTGCTACACTAAAGATAGCAGATACAATTCAAACAATTTCTAATACTCGCATAATAAATGCTCAAAACTAAAAAGTACTCAAAACAGGACATATTCTTCTTTAATACTCACAAGTATTATATACACAATCATCATTATTCTAATTCTAAATCATAGCTTAAAGACACTATCACAATTCATCTAATTCGAATTATCGCTTAAAGACACAATCATTATTAACCTAATTCTAAGGCATAACTAAAAACAATAAGTCAATAGCAACAAAAAGCATGATGAAATAAAAAGTACAGCACCAAATCGTAAATAAGTTTAAGCCTCTAATGCATAAATTAGACATTCAACACATAAGCAGCATAAGTCTGGTGAAAGCTGAAAAAGAGCCTGAACAGTGTCTGAAGCAGGAGCAAAGTGTCCAAAACAAAGGCCGGAGAGTTGAATCACTCTCATAAAAGAGGCTGTGTGAAAAGGACTGGCATGCATCACAGAACTGTGCGAGACAGAGGATGAAGAAGGAGCAAGGTGTTTGGGCTGTGTGAAATCCTGGCCTATGTATGATGGGATGTGCAAAACGGGTGTGATAGAAGAGAGGCTGTGTGATGAGTATGGGTTCTGTCATCTGTGTTTATGCTATGGAAGAGAGGCTGTGAAAACCCTAAAATCAACAGAGAGGTGCAATTTGGTGCGGAGGATAAAAAGCCCCCTCAAAAATTAGAAACAGGTGTTTTTTAAGTGTGGGCAACATTGAGATTTCAATCTTTGAGGAGTATAGGAACTGCTGTGGCTGCTACTCACTGCTATAGTGGCCGTGATAGCTGCGAGCCTGTGACACCAACACACATTGCTATTGAAGCTTTGGGGTGGCAGACGTCTGTGATGAACTTGCTGCCATGATAGTGCCACTATTTGGCGCAATTGACTAAACTATAGCCTGATTTCCTTTGGGTATTTTCTCACCTTTTCATTTGATAAACTTCTTCATTCATCCCAAAAGAAAATAGTTAGGTACTGTTGAGATATATAAAATCATTAATGTAGCCTCACCCAACCGCTTAAGCTTTTGGGTTGAATTGGTTCTTTACATGGTATCAGAGTCTGGTTTCCCGGGTTCGATTCTCGCCGCCCCCCACTTTCTTTTAAGTGGAATTTCTTTGTTCGCACAGGTAGGTGGGCCTGTGCATTGTCCACCCTTCAAGCCCAGTAGGCTCTCGTGTGAGGGGGCGTGTTGAGATATATAAAATCATTAATGTAGCCTTACCCAACAGCTTAAGCTTTTGGGTTGAATTGGTTCTTTACAGGTACTAACCTAGCTCTTTTCTTCTTCTACATCGATGTATTTAGATGTTTTGAATTTTGATATATTCAAGCTGTTTTTTCATTTCATTTTTCTTTCCTCCTTTTGCTGCTACTTATTCACACCTTAATTCCAGCTGTCAAGCTGTCTGCTGCTATGTCTTCATTTTGTCTGGTACAATAATTGCAAATGTTATGGGTGGATTTGTGTTATCATTGTGTTTGTATTTGTGCTAGTTTTCAGTCAAATAGATATTCTATATAGATTTTCCTTTCAAATTTCTTATCTGGTTCTCCTATTGTTGAAGGTGGTTGAAATTGTGGTCTAGGCATTTGTATATTCTTGAGGAATGGCTCTCCTTGATGAGTCACTGAAAATCAACTTGTGCTTTATTAAGAACTGATTATTTACTGTTTTATAACATGTCATTACTTTCTATATCTTCAGGAAGCTAGAGAAATCTTGTTGACCCAGGTTCCAAATTTTAACAAGACAATTGTCCTTAATTGCAAAGAGGTGACTCCCTTGTCTTTGTGAGAGATTCATGCCCTGTTGTTTCTATAGCTATGCTTTGAATTTACATTACATTCTCCATATTTGATTTTTGTATTCAGTGGAAGTCTTCGTTGGTTAATTCTTTAGTCTTTATTCTTCTTTCCAGGCTATTAGAAAACGTCTGAGGGCCATCAATGAATCACGTGTTCGGAAGCGGAAGGTGAGAAAATATGTTATTTTATTTTGTTGATCTTTTATTCTGTTATTTTATTATGCTTGCTGAACATTATGCCTGCCTCTAAGGTATGTATGTATTTGTGTGTTTTTCTCTTATTTTGGGCTAGTTTGTTTTATGTCCATATCATGATAGTGCTTACTTTGACAGGTTGGTCAAGTCTATGGAGTGGCTCTTTCAGGATCACAACTCGCTAAGCCTGCTGTTTTCCCTGAGCAAAAGCCATGCCCTGAAGACTTCCGGAAGAAATGGATTGAGGTATTAGTGAAAGTCTTGCTCCTACTGCTTTATTCTTCAGGCAACTTTCCTGTATAACTATTGCTTATTTGTTTCTGTTAGAATATTAGGGTTATTAATTTATTGTCATTGAGCTTGGGCTTCTACTACTAGTGCTAGTACTGGGCCTATTCATTGGTATACATAAATAAGAGCGTCAGGTCAGGGTATTGTAGAACACAATTATCAATACTAACTGTTGTAATTTCTCTCTTTTCCCGCTAAACCATATAATTCTAGCATGTTGAAATAGTAGGGTTTAGGTAGAAAAAGATAGAAAGGAGAGAAAAACTGCTAACAATAGTATTAGATATTACACAATACCCTAACCTAATGCTCCTATTTTATTTGTACTAATAATTAAGTCAAGTAGTAGTACTACTAATTTAGGCTAGGCCCCTAAAAATAAAACTAATATCCCTAATATTCTAACAGTTTCTCATAAGTTTTTAGTTTTTACTAAATTTATGTGGAGGCTGTGTGCAAATATTGATGGGTACATAATATGTTTATATGCTTGGTAGTTCTGATTCCTGAACAGGCTATAGCTATTCTTGAATTTAGAAGAGCCATTGTTATATAAGTTCCTATAACAAATTGCTTAGGCTTTTGTTGTCTAGGTTGATATTCCTGTTAAATCCTTGAATACTTTCTTAAATCTTACTTGGTAGTGCCTATTATTATCTTGGGATATTTTGCTGCTAGTATTTTTTTTATAAACTGAGTTAAACATTTTTTCGTAGGGCTTATCTCAACAGCACAAGCGGTTACGTTCGTTGGCTGATCTTGTTCCTAATTATAGTAAGAAATCACTTTTAGAGGTTCTCATTACGAATAATGTTCCGTTGCTGAGGGCTACCTGGTTTATAAAGGTTACTTACCTCAATCTGGTACGGATGCTGCAATGTTGTTATTTAATTTACCTATTTATTAATTATTATACCCTGATGTCCTCCCCCCCAATATTTGAAGGTATAATTGTGGTTGAATTTTGCAGGTTCGGCCTGATTCTGCTGACAAAACCCAGTCTTCTTGTTCTGAGCTTTGGACCAAAGATGTTATTGAATACTTGCAAACTCTGCTGGATGATTTTTTCTCAAAAAATACTTCTCATTCTACTCCTCATAGTCGAGATCGATCACCCCAAATGCCTTACACAGCCTCACTTCAGCACGGAAGTGACCAATTATTATATGTTTCTGATGGTGAACAACCATCTTCACATTTTAGATGGTGGTATATTGTACGGCTTCTTCAATGGCATCATGCTGAAGGGCTGCTTCTTCCTTCTCTTGTCATTGACTGGGTTTTGCATCAACTACAGGTAATTGCATATAACAAGTCTTATTTGATCATGAATATAAAACTGAACATTTTAGTTCTTTTGCTGATTCCAATCCTTCATGCTTCAGGTTTTGATTTTTCATACTTCTGCTCCTTTCAGGAAAAACAATTGCTTGAGATTTGGCAGCTGCTATTGCCTATTGTATATGGCTTTTTAGAAATTGTAATTCTATCTCAAACATATGTACGTACTCTTGCTGGAGTAGCTCTTCATATTATTCGCTATCCTGCTCCAGGTGGATCGGATCTAGTAGATAATTCCCGGAGGGCTTATACAATTTCTGCTCTGATTGAAATGCTGCGTTATTTAATACTTGCGGCTCCAGAGATTTTTGTTGCTTTGGATTGCTTTCCTTTACCATCGTCTGTAGTTTCACATACAATAAATGATGGGAATTTTGTACTAAAACTAAATGAAGCTGCCGGAAAGATAAAAAATAGTTCAGAAGATGTGTGCATATTTAGAAGTAAAGGACTTGATGCACAACACCAATCATTGGCATTTGATCATGTTATTTCATGCATTCAGAAACATGCAGAAGATCTCACAAAGGCTGCAAGCCCAGGCTATCCAGGTCCCTGTTTGGCTAAAGCTGCACTAGCCTTGGATAAATCCCTTGTGCTAGGTGATATACGTGGAGCATACAAATTTCTTTTTGAGGATCTTTGTGATGGAACTGTATCTGAAGGTTGGGTTGCAAAAGTCTGCTCTTGCTTGAGGTTATCGCTCAAGTGGCTTTTGACTGTAAATACATCACTTATTTATTCAGTGTTCTTCCTTTGTGAGTGGGCAACATGTGATTTCAGGGATTTTCGGACTGCTCCTCTTTGTGACATAAAGTTCACAGGTAGGAAAGATCTTTCTCATGTGCATATAGCTGTTAGACTTTTAAAAATGAAGCTGAGGGATATGCAGATTTCACCAAGACAAAAGAATGGAAGCATCCATAGAGTCAGTTATTTTGCAAAATGTTCAAGTCAGCAGAGTAATCGGAACTTTGTGAACAATGCATCCAAAATAAAATCCAGTTCAAAAAATGTGGATCGGAGTATCTGTCCTTCAGTTATATTTGAAAGCCCTGGTCCTCTACATGATATTATAGTTTGTTGGATTGATCAGCATGTGGTGCATAAAGGGGAAGGTCTCAAACGCCTAAATCTATTTATAGTGGAACTCATACATGCAGGTATCTTTTACCCCTTGGCATATGTACGCCAACTGATAGGGAGTGGGATCATGGATGTGAATGTAAATGTGGACTTGGAGAGACAGAAGAGACATTGTCGAATCTTGAAACAGCTTTCCGGGAACTTCGTGCATGATGCTCTGGAAGAATCAGGGATTATAGAAGGGCCACATCTTATTGAAGCCTTGCAAGTTTACTTGAATGAACGCCGTCACATACTTCGTGGTTCTATGAATGAGAACCATCGCAATGCCATTAGTGCTAGTATATCTTCTCTCAAGCAAAAACATTGTACATCTTCAACAAAAGATGGAGCTTCTACAGTGTCAATTGATCAGTGGAAAACTGTTCTTTCTAGTAAAATATCTTCTAAAAATGCAAAGGATGTCACTGGTGCTCAAGAGCTGAAGGCAGTTATCTCAGTACTGTTACAGCTGCCAAACAATTTATCTAATTTGAGCACTACAGCCACTACTGGAATGGATGAATCTCAAGGCAGTGCCAGAAGACCTATTGGGTCTCACAGCAAGATTGATCTTGTGGAGGCTACACCTGGGTGTGAAGAATGTAAAAGAGCAAAGAGACAAAAATTGAGCGAGGAAAGAAGTTCATTTGTTCAAGTTCATTCTTCAGTTCTATCTGATGATGAAGATACATGGTGGGTGAAGAAGGGGCTAAAATCCTCAGAGCCTCTCAAAGTTGATCAACCAGTTAAGTCAACCAAGCAGGTTACTAAGAGTCGTCAGAAGTCTGTGCGTAAAACCCAGAGTCTTGCTCAACTGGCAGCTTCTAGAATTGAAGGTAGCCAAGGGGCATCAACAAGTCATGTGTGTGATAATAAGGTAAGCTGCCCTCACCATAGAAATGCTATGGATGGAGATACAGCGAGGTCTGTTTGTGGAAATCAAACAAGTCATTGTGAGGATATCATTTCAACTGGAAAAGCGCTAAAAAGGCTTCGCTTTGTTGAGAAAAAGGAAATAACAGTTTGGCTGATGACTGTAGTTAGGGAGCTTATTGAAGAGACTGAAAAAAATGTTGGTAAAGTTGGCCAGTTTGGCAGGCCTCTTGCTACCATGGATGATAGAAGCTCATTACGATGGAAACTTGGTGAGGATGAACTTTCTGATTTACTTTATCTGATGGACATCTCAGATGATTTAGTATCAGCTGTCAAATTCCTCCTTTGGTTGCTGCCAAAGGTCTACGCTAGCCCCAGTTCTACAATTCATAGTGGAAGGAATGCTCTGATGCCAAGGAATGTGGAGAGCCAAGTTTGTGATGTTGGGGAGGCTTTTCTGCTAGCATCGCTGATGAGGTTTGTACTCAACTTACTACGTAGTTCTTTTGTAGACTCTGCCAAAACTTGTTATTTTGTTCCTTTTCAGTTTATGTTCTCTTCCTCCTTTGATCTTCCCTTCTAATTCATGTGCTGGTTGCTGCTTTTTTAATAACTTTGTGCCATTTGAGTATGTGATATACTATGTTATACTTCAGTTATTTTTATTAGTTTAAAAAGTACATGGGAAACTGTTTCATCTCAATGCTTATTATTGTTGGAGATGTAATATAAAATCATTCTTGTGTTTTCACCTTACAGCTTAAACTTTGCGAGAGTTGGTTCATGATATGGTATTAGTGCCTCAATGACCAAGTGGTCTAGAGTTTGATCCTTTTTGTCTCTGCTCTTCTAATATAATGTCGAATTTCAACACAAGGTTGATCGTCCTTTGCATTGTCCATGCTTCAAGCTCAAAAGGCTCTTGCCTGAGGGGGCGTGAGAGATATGTAATATAAAATCATTCATGGTTTTCACCTTACAATTTAAACTTTTGGGAGAGAGGGTTCATGACACTTATGCTCCTTTTGTTTGTAATTATTGTAAAGAATCAATTCAACCCAAAAGCTTAAGCTTTGGGTGAGGTTATTACATTAATGATTTTATATTTCTCTAACACGTCCCCTCACACGATAGCCCACTGAGTTTGAAGGGTGGACAATACATAGGCCCACCTACCCGTTCTTAACAAATTCCACGGTACTGAATTAATTATTAATTAAATGAGGGCGGTGAGGATCGAACCCGTGGCACGGAGGCTCTGATACTATGTAAAGAACCATTTCAACCCAAAAGCTTAAACTTTGGGTGAGGTTATTACATTGAAGATTTTATATTTCTCTAACAATTATAACTAAATCAGGCTAGTGTCATGTAAATTTAATTTTTCCTCCACATCTATTCAGACTTGCCCAATTAGATATCCTTTCTCGACTAATTGATAACACAAATCATTATTTGTCTTGTTATAAGAGCCAAGTGCAAGTTTAACCTTAAGTGATTTTTCCATGACTTCGTATGAGCTCCCCAGTTATCCCCCTAGCTTTTTCTTTTTCTCATATTTTATCTTTGAACAAATGCTTTATGAGTATTCTTTACTTATCATCTTTATGCTAATGTTGGGCAATTTTATTTTTAATTGATTTTTGGGTTTGGCTTGTTTTCCTTTTCCAATATTGTATCTCATGCAGGTATGAGAACATTCTTGCGGCAGCAGATCTTATTCCTGTAGCTCTGTCATCTGTAATGCATCGTGCTGCCACAATTATAGCATCAAATGGAAGGGTTTCATGTTCGGGAGCCTTAGCTTTTGCTCGTTATTTATTGAAAAAGTATAGCAATGTAGTCAGTGTCATTGGATGGGAGAAAAAATTTAAGACTTTGTGTGATAAGAGACTTGCTTCCGAACTTGAGTCTGGACGGTCAGTTGATGGAGAGTTAGGGCTTCCCCTTGGCATTCCCGCGGGAATTGAGGGCCCTGATGAATTCTTCCATCAAAAGATAAGTGGTGTCCGGTTACCATCCAGATTAGGTTCAGGCATGAGAGATGTAGTACAACGTAATGTGGAAGGTGCGTTTCACTATCTTTTTGGAAAAGAAAAAAAGCTCTTTGCTACTGGTACACCAAAAGGTCTTGCTTTAGAAAAATGGGATAATGGATATCGAATTGCTCAACAAATAGTTATGGGTCTGATAGATTACATAAGGCAGACAGGTGGTGCTGCTCAAGAAGGGGATCCCTCTTTGGTCACTTCTGCTGTTTCTGCCATTGTTGGCAGTGTTGGTCCAACTTTAGCAAAATTGCCTGATTTTTCAGCTGGCAATAATCATGCAAGTATGTCATTGGCAACAAGTTCATTGAACTATGCTAAATGCATTCTGCGAATGCATATAACTAGTTTGTGCCTGCTCAAGGAAGCCTTGGGAGAACGTCAAAGCCGTGTATTTGAGATTGCTCTTGCAACAGAAGCTTCTACTGCCCTTGCTGGAGCTTTTGCTCCAAGTAAAGCATCTCGAACTCAGTTTTCACCTGAAATCCAAGATACTAGTACCACTATTTCAAATAATGCTGTAAACAGCTCCAGTAAAGTTGTTGTCGCGAGAACAATGAAAATTGCTGCTGCTGTTTCTGCACTTGTTGTTGGTGCAATTATATATGGTGTTACCAGCCTAGAAAGAATGATAACCGTTCTCAGATTAAATGAGGGCTTGGATGTCTTGCAATTTGTAAGAAGCACAAGATCCCATTCAAATGGAAATGCACGTTCAACCGGGGCTTTTAAGGGGGATAGTTCAGTTGAAGTTCATGTCCATTGGTTTAGATTGCTTGTTGGAAACTGCAGAACCATCTGTGAAGGCTTAGTGGTGGATCTCTTGGGTGAACCTTTTATTGTAGCTCTTTCACGGATGCAGCGCATGCTTCCTCTAAGTTTGGTCTTTCCTCCTGCCTATTCAATATTTGCCTTTGTCATGTGGCGGCCCTTCATTGTGAATGCAAATGTAGCAGTCCGTGAAGACATGAATCAACTTCATCAGTCTCTAACCATGGCAGTAAGTGATGCAATAAAACATTTGCCTTTTCGTGATGTATGCTTAAGAGAGTCTCAGGGTCTTTATGATCTTATGGCTGCAGATAGGAATGATGCAGAGTTTGCAACCTTGCTAGAGTTGAATGGCTCTGATATGCATTTGAAATCCACAGCATTTGTTCCCCTTCGTGCTAGACTTTTTCTAAATGCTATGATTGATTGTAAGATGCCACAATCTGTTTATACAAAGGATGATGGAATCCGGATTTCTGGACATGGTGAATCTAAAGTTCATTTTACAAATAGTGAATCTAAGCTTCAGGATAAGATTGTAGATGTTTTAGATGCCCTGCAACCTGCCAAATTTCACTGGCAATGGGTTGAACTCAGGCTGCTTTTAAATGAACAAGCACTCATTGAAAAACTTGAGACACATGATATGTCCTTAGCTGATGCTTTACAGTTTTCTTCACCTAATTCAGAGAAGGTTGCTGCCTCTGAGAATAAGAACAATTTTATTCAAATAATTCTTACAAGGTTATTGGTTAGACCTGATGCTGCATCCCTTTTCTCGGAGTTGGTTCATCTTTTTGGGAAGTCACTAGAAGAGTCAATGTTGTTCCAGGCTAAATGGTTCCTTGGAGGTCAAGATGTCCTCTTTGGTCGGAAGACCATTAGGCAACGACTAATTAACATTGCGGAGGGCAAAGGATTTTCTGTTAAGACCCAGTTTTCGGAGCCCTGGGGTTGGTGTAGCCCATGTACTGATCCTGTAACTATCAAGGGGGATAGAAGGAAAGTGGATTCTGTGTCTCTTGAAGAAGGGGAAGTTGTTGAAGAGGGAGTGGATGTGAAAAGGTCCATAAAAGGATTCTCTCAAGTGTTTGACTCTAAAAGCTCAAGCAGTAAGCAGCAGCATGAGACTGAGAGGGCTTTCCTCGAGTTAATACTTCCTTGCATAGATCAAAGCTCTGATGAATCTCGTAATTCCTTTGCGAGTGATTTGATCAAACAACTAGGTTATATTGAGCATCAAATATCTGCAGTTACTCGTGGGCCTAGTAAGCCAGCGGCAAGTACTGCTCCTGTAATTGAAGGTCGGACAAATAAAGTAAATAGCCGCAAAACTATAAGAGGCGGCGGCCCTGGATTAGCCAGAAGACCAACAGCTGCAACAGATTCTTCTCCACCTTCTCCTGCAGCTTTACGGGCCTCAATGTCATTACGTCTGCAGTTACTCATGAGATTTCTTCCTATTCTTTGCACAGACGGGTAATTGAGACTAAATTTTTGAATCTTTACTTGGTTTTGTTAGTCTGTGTTGAAATACATTCTCCTTCCTGAATTGTTGCTGTGCTAAAGTTATCCTTTTCCACGGGATAAAACAATGAGATTTTCTTGGAACATGTTTTATGTAGTATTACCTATTGTGGGAGTAAAAGTCTATGCCAGTTTCAGTTTTCTTGAAACGCAGAAAAAATGGAGATAATTGCGATATGAACATTTTTAACAATACAGTTGTGCTAATGCTGTATTATCATGGTTCCCAGCTGCTGGAATTGATGATGATTTTTCCTTAGTTTTGTTCGGAGAATAAATTTTGGTGCTAGAAATCAGCTAATTTCTGACCTTTTAAGTAGTGAAATATAGATATTGGTGCTCTGAAAGCATTTGCTTTTGTGTTAACGTATGCCACATTAGTGTATCAAATTTAGGTTGAGCAAGAGGCAAGTTTAACTAGATGTTCAATTTTGCAGGGATCCCTCTGTGCGGAACATGAGACACACACTTACCACTGTAATTCTTCGTCTTCTTGGTAGCCGGGTTGTGCATGAGGATGCAGACATTTCGGTGAATGCTATGCACTGTTCTCTGCTGAGGAGGGAGGTGGAGTCTCCTTCTGAAGCTGCTTTTGTGAATTCTTCTGTTGAGGGCCTGTTCGATCGTTTGTTGTTGATTTTGCATGGATTGTTGAGTAGTTGTCCTCCAAGCTGGCTTAGGTTGAAACCGGTTTCAAAGACGACTAATGAACCTACTAGGGAATTTTCTGGATTTGATCGAGATTTATTGGAGACTTTGCAGGTTTGATCTTTCAGCCTATGAATGTGAAGCTTTTAGTTTCTTTCACAGATCCTATGTTATAGGGAGGCTTTCTGTTTGACATTTAATTGAACACTAATATTCCTGGGAATGGATCATCTCATGTCTATTTTTATCATGACAATGTCATGTGTCAAATCCTAGTCATTCATTTATAGATCAATGATCATAATTTTAATGACAAAGCTCGTAAAACGAAAAAGTGGAAATGTTCATTTTAATTGCTAGTCGTTGATTTATAAATAAATGATTTGAGATTTAACACGACATTGTCATGTTAGAAAGAGAAATGAGAGGATTCATTCTCAATCTTAATTGCCATGTTATAGGACGGCTTTTAGTTTCTGTAAAAGATTCAACAAAGTTTCTATGAGTATTGGGTTTCACTTGAGTTATGGAGTTCTTTTTTTTTTTTTAATTAAATTTTTTGGGTATTCTTTGACTTCTTAAAATCAGAGTCTTAATTCAATTAGAACTTTCATTGCTTCACAGATTTTTATAGAAGCTCCGACTTCCATTTTTTAATGAATAAGATGGAAATACGGGAAAATTTTCTTTAAACTGAAAAGCATTGAACGTGCTGTACGTATGACAAGACTTTCCTAATTTTTCACTACTACTAAAATTTTCAACAGCTGAAGCTTTTTTGGTTTCCATTTTTTTCCCGTTTCTATCTTCGTCTCAATAACCATTTTTGTTTACCATATTTGGCAATCTGGAAATTTTATTCTTGATATCATATCTTAGGGACGATGTTGATTAGATTGCAGCATGCAGGCTTCTTGCTTTTCTGATGGTCTATTGTCTAATGCAGAATCACTTAGATTCTATGCAACTGCCTGACACCATCCGGTTCCGAATCCAAGCTGCAATGCCTGTACTACTTCCCTCTGTGCGGTGCTCTTTCTCCTGTCAGCCACCATCTGTTCCAATCTCTTCTGTTGTATCTTTTCATCCCAGCATTACAAATTCTGGGTTTAACTCCAGCAGTTCGAGTGTCTCTCAGAGAAACACGGTTCCATTATCAAGAACTGCACCATCAGGGAAGTCAAAACAACAGGACAATGACTTGGAAGTTGACCCTTGGATGCTTTTAGAAGATGGTGCTGGTTCCTGCCCTTCTGCAAGTAATGCTGCTATCATAGGAAGTGGTGACCGTGTTAATATTCAGGCCGCCAGCTGGCTTAAAGGGGCTGTAAGGGTAAGACGGACAGACCTTACATATGTTGGTGCTGTGGATGATGATAGTTGATTAACAAGATTTTTGATTGGTTTTGGAGTAAGCAAAACCCTCAGCATGTGTATTTGGTCTTTCATTATCTGTTATTGATGCATGACTAGCATGAAGATGCCATTTTGTGCTTGCCCTTCTTGTGTTGAAGGGAAGTTGAGGGGACATCAGTTTGAGAAACATTTGAAGGGATGGGTTCTTGGTTGAAGAGAAGCAAAGGTGAAATTGTTCTCACAAGCCCATTCTTTGAAAATTTCTCCAGTGCTACGGATGCACTGAAATACACTGAATTTTCAGTGCATCCTCCACTCAGAATGTGACACTTGTTTTACTTTTGTCAAATCATTAATAAATAATTTATTTTAAAATCAGGTGAGAGAGTGATTTGATAAAAAGTAAGACACGTGTCACTGAGTGAAAGATGTACTGAAAACTCAGTACATCCGTAGCATTGAAGATATTCTCCCATTCTGTTGGTTCTGGCCTGGTTGACTACTAACTTGTTGATCACTCCCCCCCTCTGAAATTGTGCACTTCAGGCACAGTTCAGAGGTTTGTTGTACATATAGGGACATTGTTTCACTTTACCATTTTATTTTGAGTAATATGTCTCAAGTGATCTGTAGTTGTTTCCTTCTCATTCATGTCTTAATGTGCACTCTTGTGTGAGCTGTGTCTGTATCTTTTGGGGCCACAAGCACACCCAAGGGCACGCAACCAATTTTTCTTATATATTTAGATTATCAAAATTATCTGTGCTTTCATCTGTAGCATCAGCATGAAATGCAGCATTCAATTATTTACTTACAAGACTAGAGATTTTTTTTTAAATTATCATATTTTAGCTTAAATACACACTAGTAGCTGTACCATATAAACAGATCTTTGTCATCATTTGTTATGATTTTTTGTGGATGACTATGGTTGTGGGTTGACTTAGTTTACAGAACATTTCAGATATGTAATCATGAGCCTCGGTTGAGGTAAATTGGTTTTTTATATAGCAGTTCTGTCACTTTAAATGGAAAATGTGCATTAAGAACAACCCTCAATCAATGATTTAATTATGATGTCTACAAACAAAAACAGTTGATTTTTGCCTTAACAGAGTTGTGTGGTTAATGCATTGAAGTTGTATTAATAAATCTATATTTTAATAAGAATAAATTTTAGTTTTGATTAACAGTATCTTTCAGTTATGTATTCCCTTTGATGATGTGATACGGTGCAACAGGTGTGTAAAGTATTTTTACATGTTCATCAAAATTAAATAAAATTCGTAGCAACATGTCAAGCCAAAGAGATATTTGATCAAATAAACTTGTTTTTCGGTTTGGAGAAAGATACTTGATTGTTAATATGAATATTTTCTTTTTCTAATTATATTTGTGGTGTTACAAATCTACTCATTACAAATATGAAAAGCAAAAGGAAACGAGACGTGATCAGTTTCACTTGAGCAATATATTCATTGACGATATAAACATATCCTTAAAATAAATGTGAGAACAAAAAATAATTGAATTTAATAATGAATTTGTGCAGAGCTCTTTGTTGCTAGATGGAATATTCATTTCTAAATAACAGATGTCAGAAGTTATATTTTTTGGTTTTGGTTAATGGGAGACAAAGTTTTCAGACAACAGATCATCCATTATTTGACTCACATCAATATTTAAGATAGAAAAATAATAATATATTGTTTAATTTTTTAATGATATCAGATACAAACAATCCTCATGTCTTTTAATAATGTTTCATTTTCCTCCACTCTTTGCTTTTATTTATTTTTGTTGCCGTTCCAAGTGACTGTTGTGAAACACACCCTTAAAAAAAAAAAGAATGCTCTTGAGGGGTCAAAGAAACACATTGTGGCCCCCAAGGTTGCCACAGGTCAATGGTTAGGGGTGTCCTGCTACTGCCCTCTTGTCACAAAAAAGCAAGAGGTACCTCTTTACCCTCAAATATGGTTTTTCAAGGACTCATTCCCATGGAAGTAGTGGAAACCACATTGAGCCTCCCTTGTCTTGAACTACTTCTAATTAAGTGATATTTGGCCTTATTCTAATATCCATCTATGACAAAATTGTGAATGTTGACTTTTATTCTCATAAGGGCAATTAATAAAAATAGTTGTGTACTTTTGGTCCAAAATTGACATTGCTGCTTATGTTCTGCCATCACTCAGTTGCTTTGGATGAATTGGTAAAGAACAAAGAAATTACTTGGTTTGATTCCTTGTTTTTAAAAAAAGATTTTTCTATTATTGTCATTCTGAACTGCATATTTTTGAGGATGGAGATATCTGTGATCCTTGGAAAGGTTTTATAATGTTAGTTTCAACACAATAGTGCATATAACATGCCTTCTAGGCTTCTGGTCCAATAGAGTATTAAATATATTTCCAAATTCAGACGATTTTACTGATTAGACTTTCGTTTTTGTTTTTCCTTTTTTTATTTGAGAAACTGCTGTAAATTATGCTTAAAAATTCAACTGAAAGTGAAATCTGTCTTTTGTATATTGTAGTACAGTTAACAACAAAGCTTCAAACAGATGCAACTGAATATCTTTAGATACAATCATCAACTACCTTTCTACATTCTCCTAAAGCTAAGGATTACAAAAGATTGTTGGATGGAAGAGCAACAATGTTAAGATGCAGGTGTAAAACCCAGTTGTGGTTTCTACGCATCTCGATTCCTCATTGATTTATCTACATAAAGAAAATCTTCAATCCAAGCAACAATGTTGAATGCTAGGCCTTCTAATACTCTTGAATAACTCTCTAGTACTGCTTTCCCTACATCCTGCAAAAGATAATTCTCATTCTTAGACCAAGTGCTCACAATTTAAACATCTGTTAGTTTACATCCATCTAGTTCACTCTTTCCAATGAATAGATATCCATATAATGGTGTCCTAAACTGTTCTTCGTTTAAATCATAAAGGGAAAATGGAAATGCACAAGGCTATTGCGAGAGTAGGGGTGATGATTAATTGTTATCAATGCTTTATGATATTAAGCGCAGTTATAATCACATTGGTTCAATGAAAAACCCGGATAAATTTTTATTTTTTTTTAAAACTTACTTGCCTTTCCTTTTAGACAACGCCGAGTTTAAAATAACCAATTGCGTGACCATAACCTTATTACCTTGCGGAATAATCAAGACTAAACTTAACATCATATTATTATTTTGTTCGAGTTCAATACTAAACTGTCTTCACTTTTTATTAAATTGGAGTTCCCGTACTTACTTACTAGCTCTCATCTCACACTATGTTATAGATCTCTCAGTTAGCTTCGCGTGAGTTTAAACCACACTCAAATCGGAAATCTGTAGCTCAAGTTATGACCATTTTCGTAAATAAGGTTGGTGCTGTCTCGGTATGCGCGCCTGAGCGTTCAAATGGGCGCTCGAGCGCCCACTGCGAAGAATTTTGGTCATCATCAGGTCTTTCAGAGCGCTTGGGCGGGTGTCCTCGCGCTTGAGCGCTCGAAATCAGCGCTTGAGCACCAAGAGGCAGGGACTTTCACTCATTTTCACGCATATATCGCGCTTGAGCGCCCAAACCCGCGCTTGAGCGCACAACACCTGGGACAGGCTTGGTCTCCCATGTTTTTGGTGATTTTCTTGGGAAAATCTCATTCCCCTTTCCTTCTTCAAGGGTCATAACACCTAATTGACAAGGAAAGTTCAACCATGGTCACACACCATGTGGCACCTATATCCCACAAACTCTTTACCAATTCATCATGCAAATCAAAACATAACTTCATATTCATCAATGTAATAAAGTTTCAATTACATGAATGTTCTTCCCAATCTCATATACATGCCAAAAGGACTTAGCTACCAAAATGAACATGATCAAAGCAATTAACAATATATAACATGCCAATTACTATTACAATGATCATGCACTAAGTCCTCCAAAATACATCATATGACCTCAAAATAAACAAACATATGATGAGAGAAATGACATATACATCTAACAATCCTAGAAGATATACAATCCCAAAATGACGAGCTATCGTGTCCCATCTACTCAGGCCTCTTGCCCCGTCCCACATCATCCATGCTTGTACCTGAAATAGCATTCCCCAAACGGGGTGAGATAAACTCAATAAACCCAGGGTTCTTGGAGAGCTCCTCCAACCCCAGAGTTCACTTCCTGCATGAAGGGTTAGTATCCACATGGCATGAACCACATCATATATCCAGAGGCAATAACAGTAATGATTTAATCGCAACATACTCGTGCATTCAAATGGCCACAAAACTAAATAATCAAATCATCACACACGCTTCAGTTGCATCTTAGTCCTTTCCACTAAGCATACAACCTAGCCCCTAGTGCTTGTCCATTGGCCCTTTCTCCAATGACACAACAATACTATATGAATGCAAACATACCATAATATTAACATTACCACTCAATCATCCATTCATTGACCATTACTTCCATAAAAACAATGGTGGAACAACAAGAGGGATTAACCTCCAAGATCCAAAGGTTTACCTCTTGATGTTTCCTCTCCTTTGCAAGCTTTCTTCTAGCTCACTTATCCAAACCAACCCTTCTTGGTATCTTAACTTGGTAATTCCTTCCAATCGCTAATACACCCTATTCAAGAGTGTGAAATCCATCAATTTAACATACATACAACCTATTCAAAAATCACACAATCCAATTCACACCACAATTTAGACATAAACTTACCAATCCAAATGAGCTACTCAAGCTCCATGGCTCCCTCCAATGGTTGGTCACTCAAGGATGATCCACTTGCCTCAATCCTAGCAATCACATGGACAAATCAATCATCCAACCAAACCATTGTTTTCAATGCAAGAAAATCCTCAATTTCAAGCATAGATTTCTTCAAATATCAAAGTATACTAACATGACAATCTAAATCATTTATACCGTTTATTTATCATTCCTAACAACATTTCCACAGGAATTTAGCCTCAATCTTACCCAAACTCATAAAACCCACAAAATTACTATTCATCATCTTCAACCTCATGCAACCTTCATGGAAACAAGGTTTGAGAAGTGAAAACTTACCCCAAAGGATCACACAACCAATGAATGGTGGTCTCCTAAGCTCCTATGCATGAAAATGCCCTCAAACACCTCAAATCACCAAGTGGGTCGAAATCTTTGGAGGGAGATATCTCACTCCATAATGCTTCCCACTCACTTTACAATGCTTCCCACTCCCATTGTAAATCAAATTATTCCAGATCAAGTGTGGAATGCCCTTTGGCATTGGAAGGGTCTAGAGAGGGTGAAGATTTTCATGTGGAAATGTCTGCACCGTAGACTGCCAACTAGTGCTTGGGCTGCTAAGTGGTCAGACGCGAATCCAGTTTGTTCTCGTTGTCTTAGCGCATATGAGACGAAGTTTCATGTATTGAGAGACTGTGTGGTGGAAAAAACAGTGTGGGATAAATTGCTTTTGTCCAGGAGACATGCGTCTTTCTATGATTTGGATTGGATGGATTGGGTGTCTTCCAACATATGTAATGACAGGTCAGGACCCATAAGTCTGAATTGGGTTACTATATTTCTTTTAACTTGTTGGGAGCTGTGGAATGATAGAAATGCTGTTTATCATGGGAAGGAAGGATCTACTGATTCTCTTATTGTGCGTAAAGTGCAATGCATGGCTATGGATATCGAGCAAGCTTTTGGTGATAAAGGCATCACAAAGAAGGCAGGAATGTTATCTCAGATACATATTGCATGACAGCCACCAGATCATGGATGGATAAAATTAAACACAGATGGTGCAGCCAAAGGTTCTCCAGGAGTAGCTGCATACGGAGGATTATGTAGAGGATCTGATGACCAATGGCTAGGGGGTTTTGCTTATCATGTGGGTATTGCTTCAGCTTTTACAGCAGAATTATGGGGTATTCTGAAAGGTTTGG